TGAAAGGTTCAGGCATTATGCTGGCCTGCTCCTGTTACCTGGTGGAATCCACTCAGGCAATACCCTGGTCAGCCCAAGGTTCCATGGGAAAGAAGTCTGCACGCAGGTGCAGAGGACCCCTTTAAAAGATAGGCCCCTGCCCTCTCTCCCTCTCTCTCCCCCTGTTCCTGCTCTCTGTCCCCTCTCTCTGTTTCCCCGCTCTGTCTCTCTATGGCGACCGGCCATGGCGGTCAGCCATTACCCTGTTCCTCCTCTTAGTCTCCCCATTCTGCCGGTCCTTATAATAAACTTATAGTCAATAAAAAAAAAAAAGGGGATTTGTTAGATTGGCTTACATGGTGCATGCTGGGTAGTTCAACAATGGCTGTCTATACTTTCTGGCTGAGAAACCAATCCTCTCTCCAGGAGGCCGAATGCTTTAGCTTCGTCAGTCTGGAACTAAAAGGCCTGGAGGACTCCTGGGGTGATACTGGTCTTTCACTGTCATTGAATTGTTGGGAAAATTGGGCTCCAGTGCCAGTAGAAGATGGCATCCATGACAGCAGAAGAGAAGACACTTCCTGTAGTCAAGTCATCACTGTCTTTCCCTCAGATCTGCTCATCTCTGGACTGCCACTGCCAAAGGGATACCACTTGGGAGGAAGGCCTAATCTCCTCAGTCAATCTTTCCAAAATATGTCTCCACAGACACTCTGAAGAACATGTTTCTTACTTGATTCAAGATTCAATTGAGTTGACAACAAATATTAACCATCATGCCCTCTAAGGGGTGTGAATGTGTGTATGATGTTTGTGTTCATGTGTGTGCATTTCTGTGTGTATGCACTGCGTGTGTATTTCTGTCTGTGTTAATGATATGTGTATGTATTATGTGTGTGCACATCTGTTTGTACATGTGAGTGCATGATATGTGTGCATGTGTGGGTACCCATGTGTGTGTATGATATGCATGTGTATGATGTATGTGTGTGCACATGTGTGTGCATTTGTGTGCGTATGATATGTGTGCATATGATGTGTGTGCACATCCATGTGTGTGCATTTGTGTGTGTGATATGTGTGTGCACACATGTGTGTTTGCTTTGTGTTATTATTTCCTGTCTCAGAAGGAATTTTCTGAGCTCTCTAAAGATCTTTAGTAATTCATAAGTATCCGTGCCTATAACACTGACTAGGAGTTGCGACCCTGGAAAGTAGAGCTTGCCTCAGGTGGTTGAAAGGCAGCTTCTGTTTTGTTGAGGACCCCAACTCCATAGCTCAGTATTTTCTCTATTTCTATTAATTTCCTGAGAGAACTCCTGACTTCCTGCTTATGTGGGAAGCTGATGTAAGTCAAGTGGAGGCAGAGGACTGGTCAGTAGATTCCCCTTCAGTTAACTCTCTTGCTTCTGGACATGTTCCTCATCATCAGTGACCTCTGCCCTCCTGCCCAGAGTATGTTTGTCCAGTGTTTGGTCCCCTGAGAAGCAAAGCAGGGAAGTCATGAGACTGAGGTGGATGTGGTATTTAGGGTCTTACTATTACTCCTATAGACACTCACCTAATGATTTTTGATTTCACCCTCACTTCTATCTCCTATTTCAATGTCTGTGTCTGGAGCATGTATAAAGCTAGGGTGGCATTTTAGCTTCTATCTTCTCTCTGCTTCTCAGTCAGCAGGCTTTCTGCTTGCTTTGGTTTGCTGCATTTATCATCACCTGTCTGTCGCCTTTGCTTTTAGCCTTTAAGTAATGATTCAGACCACAGAGAGGAAAGGAACATAAAGTAACAATGTAATATAATAAATAATTCTAAAGTGACAGGGTTCTAACCACCATTCTCGTCAATATATAGTGCAGACAACCCCTTGTGATTTCATACTTTTCTTGTAAGGACAACTATTCTTCCAACATTTGTGTTAATCACATTCGTCTTGTGTTTTAGTTACTTTTCAATGCCTCTTTAAGAACATGCCTTCCTTTCTCCCTTTTTACAAACTTGAC